TTATACTTTTCTGCTGGATGGCTAAGACCAAGATATAGCAAGACCTATATACCCAGAAATGTAACTTTTGTATCTGGTAAGGTCAGCCAAGTACTCTCAGGATTTATCCTGTAGCCCTGTACCACCCTTTGTACATCCTTTTGTCAGTGTCTGACATGAGGATGAGTCACGGCCATTCCTTGACCAATTTGCTCTGTGAAAGCTTGAGAAAATGTTTTTTCTTTCCATGTGACTCTCCCCAGGCTCACTTTAGATCCTCAAACACATTTCTCTGTGGCTCCATAATCTTCTTGATCAGCAAATTTGGAGCACAACTGAGTTACATGTTGATACAGTACAGGTTCTCCTATGTTTGTTATGTTTTCCATCTTCATACATTTTTAGTTGAATGTTACATGTAGATTGAGATGTATGGTGACATTTTATTGTGTAGCCTGCAAATGTGCAGTTATCCCAGTGCAGCTTATTCAAGACATAGTCCCTTCCACATGTACTCTTGATACCCTGATCAAAATTCAACTAATTCTAAATACATTCATTTCAGTTTCTTAGAACTTTTTTCCACATTGTCCTGTATGTCTGTTTTAAATGCCAATGCCATGTGTGTTAATTACCATAGTTTTGTAGTAGATTTAAAAAATGAGGTATTATAATGATGCATCCAGCTTCACTTTGGAGCTCTTTTATGTAGACTTTCCATATATGTTATATGATTGTTTTCTGTATTTCTATAAAAGGTGTTGAAATTTTGATATGATTACATTGAAGCTATAGTTTATAATACATAGTATGGACACTTGCTAATGTTAAATCAGCCATCAATATCCACTTGTTTGCTTCTTGGACTTCTATCATCAGTGTTTCAGAGTTTGCAGTGTCCAGATCTGTCACATCTTTGTTCAATTTCTTTATTTACTTTTTTATTTTAGGGAAGGGTCTACAGGGTGTTCAGGGTCTCACTACTAGATCAGACTCATAGTGATCCACCTTTTTAAGCGCCTGGGAATCGAACTGCTGGCCCTTGCGCCTGCTTGCAGGCACTTTAACCCACTGAGCTATTTGGCCAGCCTTACTTACTGAAGTTATTTATGAGCCCTAAAAGGTGTTTTGGTGGAACTGTCAGCGTTTTCTGTAATGTCACACTGTCAGAGAGTAAGGGCAGTTGAATTTCTTTCCTTCCATTCTGGACAATCGTTGTCCATCTCCCTAGTTCCTTAGGCTGGAACTTCCTGTGCCATACTGGATAGAAGTGCTGAGAATGGGCCTTCTTGTGCAATGTAAGAAATAAAATTGTAAAGTTCATCTGACATCATTAAACTATCTTTTTTTTTTTCTTCAGGAAATGCATCTTTGTACCTTTGTGTAGAAGGAGTGTTTCTCCTTATTCAGTACTCAGTTGACAGATTCTTTTCTTGTTGTGTGTACCTCAGTCTAGTCTTTCTGGCCTCTCTTCTGTCAGACGAGCCGTTAGATATTAACTGCTTTGATTTTTTTTTTAATGGTACCAGGGATTGAACTCAGGACCCTGCACTTGCCAGGCAAGCGCTTATTCTACTGAGCTATCTCCCCAGCCCGACATTAACTGTTTTGATGGCTTTTCTTCTGTCAGGGTTGTTCTTTCTCCTACTGTTTTACCATGTTACCATATTTTCCTTTTTTTTTTTTGAATTGGTTAATTTAACTTGGCCGTGAAGTTCTGGTGATGGAGCTCAGGGCTTCTCCCTCTCTCAGGAGCCCCTGACCACCGAGAGACATTTCTAGCCCCTTCTCTCTGATTTTGATTGCCATAAGCCTGTCTGTATTGCACTGAAATCATTTTGTTTGTGTAATCTGGTCCATTGAACATCAGTGTTTTATTAATATCTTTTATTGAATTTGGAAAAGTTTTTTGTGTGTTTCTTCATCTGCTTTCTCTTTTATCTACAGGAACACCCACTGCATACATATGTGGACATTTATGTTGATGTTGGCTCACATGTCTTATGTCAGTGAAGCTGTCTTCAACATTACAGTCTTTTGTTTTGTTTTTCAAACTGAGTTCGATCTCTGGAACTCTTTTTTATTGTTTATTTTGAGTTGAAGTCTCACTGAGTCCCAAAATGCCATAGCTGGGCTTGAACTTGTGATCTTCATACCTCAGTCTTTCACTGTGCTGGCATTACATACATGGCCCCACACATGGGTTTCACCTTTGCTGTACTGCTCCCTTTGTGTGTGTGTGTGTGTGTGTGTGTGTGTGTGTACCTGGCATCGAATGAAGGACTTATGCTTGTAGGGCTGTACCCTGAGCTATGATCCCAGCCAAAATATTTCTTCCTTAAGCCTCATTCCTTTTCATACCGAAGTCAAGCACTGCACCACTGAGCTGTAGATCTCCATTCTTGACTGAAAATTTTCTTCAGAGCCATCTTCATGCTCGGTCAACATTTCCTCTGCTATCTTAATCTGCTGTTAATCCCATCTAATAATATTTTATTTTTATTATTTTAATTAAACATCTGAAAATTTTCATTTTTAAGCATCTCCTTACTGCAAAATCTCTACTTTGGGTTATTGTCGTGCCTGATTGCCTCTGGCATAGCGGTCCTTAGATTTTTTTTTTAATCTGCTTAGAATAGTTCCTTGGAAGTTTTTATCTCTGAATGCCAATATCTAGGGTCATTCACAGTCATTTTCAGTTTATTCTTTTTGTATTTTTCCTGAGTTGGGTCATACATTTTTTGTCCTTGTATTTCTCATTCATTTCAATTGTAAAATTGACATTTTTAATAATTTTTGGAGGTGGCTTCAGGGTTAGCTCAATTATTTAAGTGCCTACTCTGGAAAACCCAGTCAGGCACAGGGAACCCCAGTAGATCCCCATCTCCACCTGCCTTATCAGACCTGCCATTGAGGCAGCCTGAGCCAGCCAAAAAAAATTATTATATTAACAATATATGTATTATATAATATAATAATAGATACAATTGCATTTTTTTAAATTTTATATATTTACTTGGCACAGGGTCTCTATATACAGCTCAGACTTATAGTGAGTCTCCTGTTTCAGCCTCCCCAGCACTGAGATTACAGGTGTGCACCATCACATCCAGTTTTGGTGGCTGGCTCCGCCCAGGGACAGCAGGCATGTGGTGCGGGGGATTGAAGCCTGGTCTTTGCACTTGGCAGGCAGTCCCTTACACCACTGAGCTACACCCCCTGCCCTACAATAGTATTTTTTTTATCCTGGATTCTCATCCTTTTATCCTCTAAAAAGGTTTTTTCTCACTTTCTATGTGGTTATTTTCCTGTAGGTACTGATGTCCCTGCTGAGTTTAGAGTCAAAGGAAGCCCCACTGCTCAGGGTGGCATTCTGCACTTCCCTTGAGTGTCAGGGCATCTTTAGCTGAGCTCTGCCCTTAAGCAGAGGCTGCACCCCATTCCAAGGAGGTCCTCCATCCACCTGGAGGAGCAGTGGGGTAGGGAGCCCTTTCTAAGCCCCAGCTGACTTCAAGCTGGCTATGGCTCATCCGCTGGGCTCTGTGAACCTCTGCTGCTGCTATGTGTGCACGGTTGGCACATCCGGAAGTGTATGCCTTTTAATCCTAAACTTAGGGACCCACTCGAGGTCCCATTATTGGAGCAGCGGCACAGCTGGATTTTCAGGTGGCTGTCTGATCTAACACAGAGGGCGCCATACAGGCTGGAAACCTCTTGGCAAAACTTAGAGGACGAGTTCTTATTTCTGCACAGCTGTTATAAGGAGTCATTTTTCCTTCATGTGCAATTTGTGAATTTCAAGAAAGATGGAGAGCCACCCCTAAACATAACTGTGCAGTATAAGTCAGCAGTTGCTGTAGTTATAACTTCCTACAATAGCCCATTTTTAACTTGTAACATAATTTGTTGGTTTATGTTCTGAACTATATAAGTGCATTCTTGTGAGGAGCAAAACTCTGTATGCATGTGTGTACGTACATGTGTATGTGTGGTGGATGCAGCTCTTGCCTTATTTCTTGCTAATAACTGTTAAAAGCTGGAAGAAGTCTACAGTGAAGAACACCAAGTGCATCCTCATATTTCTCTGCAAACAAAAGTATATGTACAATGTACATGAATAAATGGCCCAAAACCATGAAGAGTATGGGGTACACTGAGCTAAGGCAGCCTGGAATTCAGGGTGAATGTTATAAATTTTAGGGCAATGGATTATGCGAGACAAGAAGTCATGATTGGTTTTGAATATTACACATCCTATTTTTCATCCTATGGCTTCTTCAATATTGAAGGTATTAAACTGCGTTGAACTGGCAAAGCTAAGCAAACATAGAATTAGTTAACATGTAAAATGAGAAGAGGCATTTCTTGAAACACTTGTTTACTTGTTCCTTCAGCAAAAGCAATGTACATTTTTTCTGGAATTATTATTGGTTTATTTCTGATTCTACAGAGCTTGTTGATACCTAGAAAATAATCGTGAATCATTGTAGGCATCTGTAAAGTAAGTGAAACAATCATGTATTATATCAGTCATCTCTCAGGCAGCCATGGGGTGGGTGGATTGAGTCTTACCTTGCTTTTTTCTCTGTCACACTGGGAAAATCTCCATTCGCAGCATATTAGGGCTTGTGAAAAATGATAGAACTTTGTCAGGGAGGCACGTCCACAACTTGTTAACTCATGTTTGCTTCTTTCTCTCCAGGGTGTGAAGGACACCATAGAAAGGTACGTGTGCGAAGCCAAGGATTCAAATGTTGTGTGCGAGAAGAAGGCATTATGGATGCACCTTGTCACTGACCAGAGTTCAGTTATTTTAGTCCTACTGAGAATAGAGCCGCAGGACCCAAATTGTACTGCAGGCGCTGGAGTTGTGTGGAGTCAGGGCAGGAACACTAGTGGTATTGAGGATATCATGGCACATTCTCCACCTCGTTGGCCTCTGTGTTTTATTCACTGTGAACTTCCATGTGACTCTAAGCTTTATATTCAATACGTGCTTGCTTTATCATAGATTAAATACACCTTCTTTACCAAGTACCAAGAATTGTCCATGGTAATCAAGCCTACATACAGCAATTTATGTTTTTCCACTAGCAATGGTAGACATCACATCTAAAATCACACTTGAGTCCGGGAACCAGAATTTTGACCCAAATGTAAACAGTTAATGCACCTCTGTCATATTGTTGAGAACAACTAGGAAAGGCCTCATTCTGCTGTGTACAGTTGCACACCTGCCTGGCAGCACAGACTTTTTCCAAACTTCTGGAATTCAGAGCAGTATTAGATTTGTGTTTACTTGCCAAGTATTTGTAATTTTCCCAGAGAAAAAAACAAATCTTGAAATCTCAGATGGCATCTGAGCACCTTTCCATAGGGAATGAGCTGTGAATTTCTTGGGCTCCTCCAGGTAGGGCTCCTGTGCTGATAAGCCCAGACTCCTAAGAGCTGGATACTGCAAATGCACTGACCAACCATTCTCCAGAGCCTGCACCCATGGCATGAACTCTTCCATACATTATGGTGTTTTAATATCAGGTGAGGGTTTGGGGGATTGTTCTAAAATCGTTCAGCAGTGAGAACTCTACTTCTGACTGGTCATGATCCTCCAAAGGTCATAACAAATTGTTAAAAAGGCAGATATGTTTCTGATGACGTCAGAATCAGTAGTTTTCCTTTTCCTTTCCTGAAATCACCAGTGAGGAAATTTTATGTGCAAAAATGAAATTAAATAATAGATGTAGGTGGTGTTTGAAAGACAACGTTATGAGATATGAAGTTCATTTATTCCTTCCTAGGAGTAAGTCATTGACTGTGCAGAAACCAAGAATTTGCCCTAAGAGACAGAAGATGGTGTTTCAAGCTCCTGATCTGAGACAGTATCTCCAATCTCATCAAGGTCAGTAGTGCTAAGAGGGTGCAATGATCCATGCCTGCCTATAATCCTACTACTCAGAAGGCTGAGGCAGAGAGACTGCAAGTTCAAATCCAGGCAGAGCAGCTTAGCAAGTTAGGGGGTCTTTGACTCAAATTTTTAGAGAGTTGGAGATGTGCTCCATGGAAGAGCACTGACCTAGCATACAGTACGACTGGGCTCAGGCACTAATAGCAGCCAAATGGGAGCAGGGTGTAGTGAAAAAAGTTAGTTGAAGGGTGTAGCTGGGGGCTGTAGAGAAGATAGCAGGCAATTAGGGAATATAGAACAGTGTCCAGTGTGGATACAGGAGTGGAGGGAAAATTAGTATCTGCTGGGGTTGTGATCATATTATTGAGTAGCAACCATTCAACCCTAGTCACCAATTCACTAGCCAGTGGCAGTTCCCTTGCCTTCCCTAGACTGGAGAGGAAATGGACGTGGGTGTGACTCCTTCACCTGCACTTATTATGATGAATTTTTGACCTTTCAAAGGTAATGGATGTTCGATGTCACTGGGTTAAAAAGGAGTCATAGTTTCATAAGCTTCCCTGTCTTCGTATATTTCACATCTCATTTCTCAGGTGTTGAGATCCATAGTTCTTCTCTCCCAATACATGCACAGTGTGTTTCTGCAAATGCACTACTCCTTAAGACTCCTGAATGAAGTTCTTCCAGTCATTTCTTTAAAAAGATCTTGCCCAAATCCTCTTGGAACACCACAGGTGGTGTTTTACTGTGACCCTCACTCATCTTGTAATTTTTCCACAGCTTTTGTGAAACCCTGTCTGAGCAACATTCCAATATTACTTGTCCTGTAGATAATCCATGGCTATGGCTGACTTCCCAAAGGAAAGGCAACTACTAGGCCTTAAGACCTAATAATCCATTGCAATATTCATGGGAAGAAGACTACTGGGATTAAGTGATGGAGCATGCTTCCAAATACCCTTTACCTTGAGTGTTCCTTGTCAACCTAAATGTGGCTTATGGGTCACAGCATGCAGAAGAAATTCAAATACAATGTATTTGTGGTGTCTGACAGTTCTGATCTTTGGACCTTGGCCCTTTCCTTTAACTGTTCCTCCAGCTCCTGTTGGAGATCTTCTAGACTCAGCCTGATACTCTGCATTTTACAATTTTCACACCACGTGATTCTCATCTATGAGTACTTTCACTTTTCCTTTTCTGGTGAGGGTTTCTTATTTTTCATTCTTGGGGATGTTCCAAGCCTGTGACACTATGTGGGCCAAACCCTCAAACTTTTCTACACCCTTTCTGTTCTGTGCCTCTGGCCAAGATGTGTCCTGCCTTAAATGTGCCTGTTGCATTTTATCCAATTTGCCTGCTTTCCTGGCCTACCTAGTGGATGTCTTCACTCACTGTATGCTGTACAAATTCTCTGGTTCCATTTTCTTCCCAATGTCCCCATTTGCTCCAGAAAGAATCTTAGTTCATCGCTTCCCATACTCTCAAGGAAATGACGAATTCCTCTTAAGAAAGACCACAGTGACTCATGTTTCTAGTCTTTACAGCCTCCTCTGCCAGTGAGAAAAGTGAGAGAAAACTCGCACGCAACTTTATGTGCACTGAAGACCATGCCTAGGCTGTTCTCTCTGCAGCAGGTGCCCTGAGTGGTAGAGTAGGTCACTTCCATCATGATGCTTCTTGTTCATCCAGGGATGAAAAGCAGAGTCTCATCATAGAATACAGGGAGTTAGATCTTTTTTAAATTGGACAGGAACTAAGAAATGGAGGTAGGGGGAAACATGGACTCTACTGGAAGAGGTAGCAGGTACATTTGTTGAAGACGTGCGTAGGCAGAGAATTCATGAAAAAAAAGCAAAATGCACAGGAAATACTTCAAAGAATCAACAATTGGGATTTCCTGTGATTGAAAAGATTTTGCACATCAAAAGGAATCACCAACAGAGTGAAAAGAAAATCCTCACAATTTGGGAAAAATCTTAGCCAATAGTCCCTTACATAAGACGTCTATCTACAATATATAAATTAAGAAGCAGGACCCCAAAATTCAAA